AGCAGTAATGTCAGAGCATTAATGTGTTCCGGTTTTCAAGGGTATGGGTGCTGGCGAAATTACAGGCACTTGGGACTTGTCAACTTATGTCTCAGGGTGACGGGCGTAGTGGCAGTGCCCCTCAGATCTTCGCGATTTGAAGCTCTGTGTGCCACTGCAACTGTTATGGACAGGAGTGTAGCTTACCATCAGGCGCATGACTTGATCGTCCCGTCACTTGATATTATAAAAAAAAACCTCATCAAGAACAATGGTCTTGGTCCTTCACGAGAATATAATATATTATGTTAAAATTGGTTGTGGAATATCACGAAAGAAATAATAATCTCAGTGCAGTGCAGAGTACTAAAAAACCGACCTCACAAGTACGTAGAATTACGTTTATTTGCTAAGTTTTATTGAAATATCCCCTAGTTCGCCACTATACAGGACTTGACACTGGAGATAATAAAAATAGGTTCTCACTACGACACTACACAAAGTATATTGAGAGAAAAACGCCTTGAATTGTAGAAAAGCAAAATCAACCATTAAAGTAATTGCTCCTAAATTAAAATTAAGCGCTATTTATAAAAATGAATCTTCATGCGTGAACAGCCACCCTTCGAGGTGGATGATTTTCTTCAAAATGAAATGGGACCACTATGGAAGTACCCCCTTTCCAACAAAAAAGTATCATGAAAATCGGTTCACAAATAACGGAGTTATCGCGTAACATACATACAAAATAAAAAGAAAAGAAAAAAAGAACATGCAGTCGAATTGAGAACCTCCTCCTTTTTTGAAGTCGGTTAAAAACACAAAGGGCCTGAAGCCTCGATTACTATCACAACCGCTGTCGCCAAAACTCACATTATCATAACGTTAAACACTGAAATCTTGATCGTAATTTCTAATTAAAAAAGATATAACAAATTCTGAACTATTAATTTAATTTAAACTTTATCCAGTTATACATATAGTAGAAAGTTTAATACAAATTATTGCAAGTTACGACGTGTTGATTTTATATTGAAATTCCATTCGATATGCTGCCATCTAGCGGCATTAGCTGAAAGACGACGAATGACTAACGTTCTCAAAAAAATAGTTTACTATATTGCAGCAATATACGGTTTACTTTCGTTTCTATAACAAAAAATCAATTACGGTTAACGCAAAATTGAAAATTTATTAAAATTAAAAAAAATAAGGCTTAACGATGACATGAAACACCACCACGGAATATTACAGTTGCGACTATCATTTTTGTACTACAAAGTAGCAAAATAAGGCATTTTTCCACGATTTTCGAGGTTTTGTGCAAAATAATTGACACGACCATAACGTACCAAGCGAAAATAGCGTACTCAAGTATGCGGAACTTCGCATAATATAGGCACACGTGCTATGCTCACTAAGCACTTCTACTGTCTTTATTATTCTGTGTGGAATATCAAAATCTAATTTATTGTCCGGCAACACGAATATTGAAATTAAAACTTAACACCAGCGCTACATGCGAACATCTACAATGAAATCACCCACGACTCGTTTTATACCTAGAAAACCGCCAAAAGAAAATCGTAAACGAAGAAGCAAAAAGCCCTTGTATCCCTTGGGAGATCTTCGCGTCCCCGCAAACGGAATGGATAATTCAATAACCTTCGGAACGTCGACTAATCCCCAATAATGCCCAAATTAGCAATACGATATGAATAAATAGATTTCGGTCTGCAAAGCCCGCCATGGGAATACGTGAGGGCTAAACACCCCCGTTTAGCGAATTTGTTTTGCTAATGAAGGGTTGTATTGCGTACTACATTCAATTTGAATGTCATTTTGTTGATTTATTTTTTGTCCTACTGCTGTTTAGTTCTAGTAAAATAATAGACATCATCTACTTGTAATGAATTAACGACTCAAACTAAATAGTGTCGGGTCCATTTCGTTCAAATATTTAAACTGCAATATTCCGACACCTTTGAAATGGAATACCTCACGTCTTTGTAATGTATTAACCACGTGCATATTCCACTGTCAGGCATAGGTCTCTTCCATCTCATATTCCGGTAAGTAGCATATGTAACTAATAGTGATGCCAACGGTGCTGATATAGTGCTGTCATCACAATTATATGTTGTTTTTCGTGAACAAAAATCGACTTTTCATTTGAGATTTTATTTATTTATTTATTGAAAGAAACATCATTAACGTAGCACAAAACATCTTAGAAAATAATTCACATACGTGTATGCAGCACTAATCTTTAATAATTCTCTTCAATCACAAAGACAATAGAAAAAAATGGTATTAAAATAAAGGAGTCAGAACGTAACAAATAGCTATAATACACACCTACTCTTAATCACGTCGGTAAAGCCAGATAACATTAATGTATAGCGTAGACAACAATGATCTTATATGTAGACAGATTTACATATAGTTAGTCTCCGTAATCCCTTCTTACAACAAAGCCCGAGTGTACCTAATCTGGTTGTTGCATAACAGACGTCGATTATAATAGAAACACATCGAGCAGCAGAGATACGCCAATTAGCCTCGAAAGAAGCTCCTGCGCTTGCGCCCATGCTAATTGTTTCCGAAACAAGTCTTGCGGGGACCACCCTTTTCCCCACCCGTCTACCCCCGCGGACGACGGGAAAAACGGAATGTACAAGTGAATTGCAATTCCTCAGACAAGATAGTTACTAGCTACTTTTATTAATGTAACAAGAAGCTATGTAAATACATATATTTTACTACACTAAACTAAAGAAGGCACTTTAATTTTATGTACTGACATAGCCATGGAGTTATAGTGATAAATGAATAATTAGTCCATTTTTGAGATGCAAACATGAAGCTGTTTGTTTTGTCTTTGCGAAAAGTTTCAATTGACGTTCTTAATAAACGGGATAGATAAAGAATAACGCTTCGCTCATTTCAAAGATTTAGCCCTTCCTAGCTTACTACCACATCCAAGGGGTTGTTCAGAAATTTTTGAGAAACTAACAGGAGGATGTACCTTCACATGAGAAGTGTCCAGGATCCAGCACGTTAATGTCAATTACTGAAAATCAGATTTTTTAATTTAATTTTTTTGACACCTACGGTTTTTTTGATCAATTTTATTATTTGAAAAATAAGTAGCTAAATAAATCATTTAATAAATTTATATAGATAGTTTTATTTAACTTTAATAGGGTAATTAAAAAGTACCTCGATTCACTTTTGATGTGTGTACAGACAGGAGCATAAAGCTCCTGGCCTTTTAAATGTCTGTCGATGACATGTTAACACGTGTTCCATTTTAATTCTTTTTGGTCCAGTCCAGCCGATCTCAAGATTGATCTCATGCAAGTTTCAAATTACAAGATATTCCTCCCACTTTCGTAATATGAAGCTACAATACCGATATTGCCCACTCTGGGTCACCCGGAAGCAATCAAATACTATGTTTAAACGTCACCATTCAATGGCTTTCGTCCGCATTGAAATATTTGAAAACGGCCACGTGTCAAGCGTATGCCGAGCGCTTGATAACGGCTCGTGACGAATTAGCAATGTCTACATCATGCTCTATTGTTATGTTGCTATTCACGCTTGTTAGGCGCTCGAGGGGATGTTTGGATGAGTTAACTGATGTATAATTATAGACAATATCTTAAAATAGAATCACTAACTAGGTTGTTGAAAGATATTTCTCTACAAATAAAATCTTCGATTTTATTGTTCTACAATGCGCACTTTTACATATACGTATTTTAATTTTACTATTACGTCTTACCGACTTAATACAAAATATGACAAATTATTTCAATTTGTTAAAATCCTTTTCCACTGTATTGCGATTGACGCACAAAAAATATTACTCATATAATCCATGTTACACAAACAATATTTTTAACAACACGCAACCCTTCTATTACGCGTGTAATTACTGTTCAAATACAAATCTCCAAGGAGCAAGCAACATTCGGTATAATGTCAGTAGTTAATAGTTACACAAACGACAGCGCATCGCAGGGGACCACGGGGTTGAGGATAGGATGAGGGGGGCGAGGGTATAGTTCATCATCCGATAATAGAGGGATTAACGCGATACAACCCTTTGTGGGCAGCCGAAAAACTCCACCAAAACATTTATCCGCGCCTGATTATTTATTCCACGCATTTAATATTCCCACTATGAATTCCTCACTTCCTGTTAATATTATAATGTTTTGGCCACTATGAACATTATTATATACCTACTTTATAGGACCTTATTATTAGAAAACATGTTCTCCAAGTATTGTCCCGCTTCACAGTCACACAATTTGCTAAGTAACACTAACTACATAGTTAATACCTATTGCTCTACTTTTACACATAACTCGCAAGATTTTGCCACACGCGAAAATACGAAAACACGCAACACACACGTCGGCTTTTGTTATATCTTTGAAAACAAAATATTTTCCGAACCCTTCACATCAATTTATGAGCAAAAGTGTTGGTACAGAATTAAATATTCCTGTCACACATTTCACAAACCCTTCGTATGTAGTAAGTAACAACCACTTTTGGCAGTGCTGTCAATTTATATTTGCTTGCACTCGTTAATGTGGGCGGTGCCGAGCTCTGATGTTTTGCAAAGCGTGCGTTAGTTTATTCCCCTGTCTGCCAAATTGACTGGCGATGAAAGGGGAATTTTAAGAAGGAATATCAGTGGTTCAGGTGGGTATCGGCAACTCAAATAACTCATTGAATAGGTGTCAAGAGTAATGCATCAAAGCGGAACAGCGGACCCAGGAGGGCGCGGACGTGCCGTAACCGGAGCCATCGCCTCATAATGCTACATAATTCAATTGGTTCCCCGACACTACCCGCACGCTTCTTCCTAACTTCGTTTGGAGCGTTTTGATATCGGATACTCCACCGTTTTGACGCCTCCTTGTGCAATTCTTCCCCGCTGACCCAAGGGTATAAATAAAAGAGTAATTCAGTCACAGTCTAGTGTACTTTATATTGACTAATAGAATAAATAATTTGTGAACCTTAAATCTAATGTTTGTAAGAGGCAACTGGGGAGGCGTATGTGATGTGGCCCGTATAGGCGGGTCCTGCTGAAGTATAAGCGAATTTGGCTACTGGAGCTGGCGCATAGGCTACCGGAGCTGAAGCTGCAGCGTAGGCAACTTTAGCCACTGGAGCTGGCGCATAGGACACCGGGGCTGGAGCTGCAGCGTAGGGTATTGGCGCCGGAGCACGGGAGTAAGTGACTTGAGCCGGAACTGGGGCGTATGCGTCTTGAGTGGGAGTGGCGGCGTACGCTATATTTGTAACGGGAGCCGGGGCCGACGCATATGTGTACTGTGCTGGAGCATACGCTATCCGAGCGGGCGCTGGGGCATATGTGTATTGAGTAGGAGCTTGAGCGTACGCCACTTGTGCGGGCGCTGGGGTATATGTGACTCTAGTTGCAGGCGCTGGAGCATATGCGAATCTCGTTACAGGTGCAGGGGCATACGCGACTCTAGCTGCAGGTGCTGGAGCATACGCAAGTCTAGCTACTGGCGCAGGGGCGAACGCAACCTTTGCGACGGGGGCGGCTACAGTAACCGGAGCAGGGGCTGGAGCGTAAGCAACTGGTGCTGGTGCTGGAGCGTAAGCAACTGGTGCTGGTGCTGGAGCGTAAGCTACTGGTGCTGGTGCTGGAGCGTACACCTTCGCAGGGGCTGCGACAGGCTGACCCTCATAACGAACAACAGCATTGAAACCGTGTTCTTTACTCGCAGAGTACTCTACAATACGGCGAGTACCGTCGGGCTGGACTAAGGTGTAATATCCCTGCACGTTATCCCCATTTCTAGTTTCCTTCTGCTGTTTGTCGTCGCCGCTATTAGGGTCATGGATGGAGTATTCATAGTCATACTGCGTTGGAAGTTCTGGCTCAGCATAGACCAGTTTGGTGACGGGAGCAGGTTGGACTGCGACGTGTGTTGGTTGGTATGCTACAGCAGCGGGGGCTGGTGCTGCCGGTACTACCTCCGCGGCCGCCGCTGCCACCAAGCAGAAGAGTGTTGCCAGCTGCGCAAAGAAAAAGGAGCTTTACAAATCACAGAATACTCACTAAACGCAAAACAATCACTTTTGTCAAAAGTCACTTTCATTTATATCAACAAAGATATCACAATCATAAACATCACTTTTCATCCAGATTTACCAACACACACATTGTGAAACATTTCAAGTTGTTTGTTCTTTTTGTTCAATGTTATGGGTACTCACTTTAGCTACCATCTCGCTTGTTATGTACCGTTAAATGTATTTCGACAAGGCGATCAAGAGCTTATATACACTTCTAACAAGGATTGCGTAGGACTCATCGTAAAAGATGTACCTGCCATCGCAGCAGTCATGAGTCAAAAACTGGATCTCTATGAGGCAATCCGGTGGAACCCATACGATTCAATAAACTAAGTAGTACATAACTGTAGTTAGACAACTTTTTATATTCATTATTTTTAAGTGCTTTCCCTAACATATTTTGGACAGCATTTTTTAAATACTGTTTCAATCTTGGAAGATTAAAGGTTGTTAAAATTATGAAGAGCTATTTTGGATATTTTGCTGCTTTTCAAGCATCCAAAACTGATCTTTTTTGAGTTATTGCTGAGATTTATTCGGAAAATTCTAAATTTTATTGTGAATGGGATTCCGAGTTTCTCATTGGGTAGTATAATCTCGTGACCACATTGGTATAGTCTATGATTTCTCAATTTTGTGCTGCAGATACTCTCTTAGTTTTTTAAGCCATATCTTTCTGAAGAATTAGATACTTTTGAGATACGCCACTATTCTCGAAAGTCATCGCGATGTTTATAATTTATATAATAGAATTATTAAATGAATTCTACATTTACATACAAGGAACGGTGGTAGCTCAGAAGGATAATGGTTTCTTTTCAATTTAGAAGTCGACGGTTCGAATCCCAGTTGCGACATGCACCAATGACTTTAAATTGAAAGTTACGTATGTCACAACGTTTTGTAGCAATTTTCCTTTGGAAACCTGAATGTCGAAAAAGGTTCACAACTCTAAAAAAAACTTCTAAAACTTGAAAAGATCCCAACCCGTATTGGGTCAGTGTGGTAGACTATATCCCAAACCGTCCCCTTAGAGGAGACCCGTGCCCGGCATAAGGGTGTATAAGCCACCATATACAGACGATTACTCATTTCGATCGATTGTCACGATAATCGTATCGATCCGTTGCTACTCACTTGGCGTTCCAGTTAATAACATACACTATCAATTCGTCGTTTCGATGAGTCTGAAACGATAAATCGTGAGGTCAAATCAATACGGGTATTATAACGGGTCGATGATATAATCTAAAATTGTTAAATAACTTATTCCAAATTTATGTAATAGATATAACAGTGACATTAACTGCCTCCGTGGCCGAACGGTTACCATGCCGGACTGCCACGCAGAGGTCCCAGGTTCGATTCCCGGGCCGGGAGAAATATTTGTAAGGCCTACATTTATTTCTCCGGTGAGTTTGGGTGTAATTTGTGGTTGTCTATGTGTGTCCATGGCACCCGCGACACAGGGTTTCCCTAGTGCGGGGCTATGTCGAGTGTGTGCGTTATTATTAAGCGACACAATAGTTAGGAATATTCATGAGATTGACTTTATATCTGTAATATCATATATAATTATTGTAACTTAAGTTATTAATAATGAATATCGCGCACGCATTGTCAGTGACTGCTTTAAAAAATGATGGATAAGACGTGGATAAGACGTGGATAAGACTAAAGCTAGTTGAATTCAAATCTGTGGAATAGTTTGAATTTTCGTTTACTGTTATCTGCCAGAAGCGTAAGAAGTAAAGAAAAGAGTTCGTCCAGGGAAGTACTGCCACCTTTCATATTCTGCTGCTACTATAATACTTGTAAACTTATGTCTCAAGTGATGAGCACAGTGCCAGTGCCCCTCAGATCTTTGTAATTTAAAGCTCTAAGTAGCTTTGCAACTGCTATGTACAGTCGTGTCGCTTGCCACTAGCTTTTTTGTTAATAATATCAAGTGATGGGACGAACAAGTCATTCGCCTGAAGGTAAGCTACACGCCTGTCCATAACAGTTGCAGTACAATTCAGAGCTTTAAATCGCAAAGATCTGAGGGACATTGCCTCTGCGCTCGTCATCCTGAGACAAAACTTGACAAGTCCCATGTGCCCGTAATTTCACCAGCACCCTTCAAAACCGGAATGCAGTAATGCTGACATTACTGTGTGGCGGCAGAAATAGGCAAGGTTGCTTTACTTCCCTGGACGTACTCATTCAAAAGTAGCTTTACTGCTACTAAATCTCAAATCATTGTTAAAAATAATATCAATGGTGGAACCACGTTTCTAAATTAAACTATTACAAACAAAGGACAAATTCTATGAACATGTTTATACTACATTTAAAATGTCGCAACTTCTTCCTAATAAAAAATTGATAACCGAATCTACAAGTAACAACAAATTAATTAAAATATATATATTGCAGCAATATTACTTAAAAACGGCGAACCGAAATGCTAACAAGAACATTACGCATCTTATTATAAGAAATTGAGGCATGTATATGGTGCCACAAACTTGTATTTGTACGTCACATTTTAACCGCTGACTTCAAGTTATTCAAGATTTAAATATACTTTATAGTATAAGTAGTAGGTACCTAAATAAAAGACAGCATTCGGTAACTCAGTTTTTTTAGAACAACAATAAAGACTTGAATTTTTCTCGCAGAAGAAAGTTTAATTCATAATTTATTTATTTATGAAAACAAAGGTTGTATACAAGTTGACATTATAACAAAATATGTATATTTTCACTGTGTCCGGCCAAACATTAGGCATACAAACATATTATACATTTCCTCACACCTGAGGCGCACCTCAACAAGCTAAACTGGGTGTAACATGTTTTTTAGATTTAATGTCTGTAATTAATTTAAACGCGGTAATAGTTATTTTGGTCAATTTCATAATTTGACTAGATGTCAAAATAATAACAATGCATAAATAACGTCAGAACAAATATACAAATGTGAATAATTAGACAACGAAGTTAGGATTTTGTCATTTCAGCCGAAAGACCTATGCATCCCCAAAGGTTGCACAACGATCTTACAAAACTAAACAAATGAAACAAACTTACAAAGAAAGTTGAAATTAAAATAAAACACTACTGTCTGTGCTAGGCAACTAGATCTGTGTTACAGATTTCCCGTATCAGTTTTGATTTCAAATTTTTATTAATGTGTAAAGAGATGATGAAACGTTGCTAAATAAGTAAAATGAACAGTTTTTTCAAGGTTGTTTGAGTATATTGAATAGGCAAGGGTGCGGGTCCATATGAATGTCTACGAGTACAACTGTACGAAAATTATTTCTCAAGTGACCCTTTAGAGAAAGATTTCAAATTATTAGGAAAGATATTGGTAATAAAGGTATGTTGAGTAAGGCTCAGAAGTCTCGGTGATATAAACTCCTTGCTGAAACTGAGCCAGTGTGGGACCTTATTACATAGATGTGCTTCTTTCATAGTTTGATATTTATTTTTTTTATTTTAGAATTCAAAAGGAGTACAATTTTCTTACTTAAACACTGCTTAAAACTGCAGGATCCAAACGAGTCTCCATTGACAAAAGCTTACAAACTGACAATGTTGTTAAAAATTTTTTCATTAAAACAATTACTTGAGGATTACATAGGTTTTCTTTATAATCGTTAACGTTAAGTAACGTAACGTATGTTATTGACAACATACATATCTATAGTAAAGTAAGGCTATATTAAGATAATTACCTTCTTGAGATATAATTTCCGAAGAAATCGGTCTCGCCTATCTCACGTAATAAAATCCAAAACATGACATATTACGGTACACATACGAACACGCTAGAGACTGTTGATTACTTCACATTTCAATGAAGTCTACCGAGCATTAATAGTGGGAGTAGACGTAGAATTCTGTTGTAGATTGTACAACAACTTAACCGGTTAAACAACATTACACGTTGATATTTGCCATTGCTCTAATTTGAAGTTATTAAACTTATTGATTTACATAAACTTATAGCAAATATGAAGTATGATTTAAATTATGTTATCATGTAAATGTTCTTCTTACCACGAATCGACGTACGATTGGATGTACGAAACAAAATTACTATTGTGGTAGAAAAAAAGATATTTACGTAGTCGACGGTATGGTATGGTGTAACAAACAGCTTTCCACAATGCGTCATCGTATGGTACGTGCCACATGAGCTATTCCAGGAATCTTCACTTCCAAAATCGTACATTTTAACATAAAATGGTTTGATATATTTAAGAATAAATAAAGGACAACAATAAATTAACAAATAATATGAATGCATAAAAATAATTTATAATGAATATGATAATGTAATGTGAATGTTTAGTTGGAGTTTGTTCGATGACTTTTATATTACATTTTTTGTTCAGAACATTTTACGACAATATGAATATAATAATAATAAAGCACACACAGTCCCCTTCTACAGATCATGTTTAAATACTGAAATGTTTAAATGTACACCACATCTACCACATGATCGCAATAAATACATATGTAAATGACTTATGACTAATCTTAGCAACATATTGGGTTTTCTAGATACTTCGTAAGTGACTTCGGTCCACCGAGATATTTCGTCCAATAGTTGGCCTTGCGGAGCAATGAAAAACGATATGTGTAGCCACACATATCATTTCTGTCACATCCTTGCACACTCTAAATAAACGGTTGTCCGTGATACCTAAACTGAAAATGTGTTTATTATATGAACCACTGCTCGTTAAAACGGCAGATCGAGCACGAAGATCTTGCCTTTTGAGTTTAAGGAAATGAAGATAAACAGGCTATGTATAATATCATTGTAACCAGGCGTTGAGAGTGCTTCCCTAGACTACCTATAAAAATACACGTTGTCCACGTGTCGTTATGAGTATTTTTTTTAACTTTTGTATATTATTAATTGCTCTTGACCATTTTAAGGGAGGGACACTATGGGTTTATGGTCTTACGTCATCCGTTTTTGACTATCCCATGATCCATTGTAGAATTACGTAGTTTTTACTGGTACTTAAAAACTACGTAATTATATTAAAAATTAAATTAATTAAATAAAAATTAATTAAAAAATTTTAGATTGCTACGTAACATTTACAAAATAATCAATAACTTAATAATTCAGATTTTGTCTTTTCT